AGAAATAGTCTTGAAATGGACTGGAAGGAATAGCCACCCTCCAGAAGCATGGGGTTATCTCCTAAAGCTAACCATCACTGCATTGGATAGACTGGGAACAGAAGCTGCAAAACACTTTGAATAAAAGCTTTCTCTGTGACAAGGGCTATGTAGAAATTCACTAACATGAAAGAAGAACAAGACAGTTCAACAATTTTTTATCTTCTGTTTGAAGCTGGAACTACGTAGAGTTATGTCTGCAAAAATTCACATAAGATTTGCTTTCATGTCTCCTTTTAATATCTATCTTTCTGTCTGCCTTCTTTGTACTACTTTGGATTGAGAAAAGATAGTACTAAATCAAAAGATGAAGGTGCAGTAAAGGGGGATTAATTTACTAGGCTGAACCTACAGGCGCTCTTAAAAAACTGTTCAAGAATGAGGGGGAAATGGCCTTGGCAAGCATTCAGGCCAGGATGAGATTTTCAAGGTTTTAGAACTTTGTTCAGCAAAACTAATGGTGCTTCAGAAACATGCATGTACTCAAACTCACCACTGAAGGCTTAGCTCACTTCCACTGGAGATTTATTCTGGAAAGAAGATATAGCCTTTTTTTTGTTTTCACTTGGAAACAATCATAAGTAAATACTTTTCTGAATAATCAGAGAGCTTTAAGTGCTGACAGGTTTATAAGCAGGTACAGGGCACAAAGGCAGAAAATATGACTGATTTGTCACTGCTGTTATTCACATCAGCAATGTTAAAAAAACCCAACAAGTTTATTTTTTTGTACTACTGTTTGGGAAACTGAGAAGCTCCAAAAAGGATGAGGAAAAGGCTAAGGTGTTTAATGCCTTCTTTGCCTCAGGCTTTAATAAAAGATTAGTTGTTTTTGGGGTACCCTGCCCCAAGTTGGAAGACAGAGACAGGGAGCAGAAAGAAGTCCCCTTAATTCAAGAGGAAATGGTCAGTGAGCAGCTACACCAGTTAGCTACACACAGGTCTATTGGGCCAGAGGGGTTCCACCCATGGGTACAGAAGGAGATGGCAGAAATGCTCAGGGAGCCTCCTTCCATCACTTACCAACTGTAAGTACTGGCTAAGGGGGAGGTCCCTGTTATTGGAAGTTAGCAAACGTGAGGCCCGCCTACAAGAAGGGCTGGAAGGAGACTCCAGGGAAGCACAGGCCTGTCAGCCGGCTTGACACTGGGGCCAGGGAAGGCTGTATAACACATGACCCCATGTGCCATCACAGGGCACACACACAACAACCAGGGCACCAGCCCCAGCCACCTTGGGTTTGTGAAAGGCAGGTCCCACTCAGCCAACTCAACCTACTCCTTCGACAAGATGAGCTGCTCAGTGGATGAGGGCAAGGCTGTGGATGTTGTCTAAAGCCTGTGACAGTTTCCTCCAGCATTCTCCCAGACAAACTGGCTGCTCATGGCTTGGATGGGTGCAGAGTTTGATACCCAGGGCTCAGTATGGGGCCAGTTCTGTTTAACAGCTTTAATAATGATCTGGATGAGGGGATCAAGTGCACCCTCAGACAACACCAAGTTAGCAGGAGAGTTGATCTGCGGAAAGGTAGGAAGGCTCTGCAGAGGGCTCTGGGCAGGCTGGATTAATGGGCAAATGTATAAGGTTCAGCAAAGCCTGTTGCTGGGTCCTGCACTTGTGCCAGAACACCCCCAAGCAGCACTACAGGCTGGGGGCAGAGTGGCTGGAAAGCTGCTTGGTAGAAAAGGACCTGGGGGTGCTCGTCAACAGCTGCCAAACATGAGCCAGTGTGTGCCCAGGTGGCCAAGGCCAGTAACATCCTGGCCTGTATCAGCAATAGTGTGGCCAGCTAGACAGGCACTGTGACCCTCCTCTCTATTCGGCACAGGTGAGGCCACACCTCAGTTCAGTTTTGGGTCCCTCACTACAAGAAGGACACCGAGGTGCTGGAGTGCGTCCAGTGAAGGACAACAGAGCTGGTGAAGGGTCTAGGCAATAAGCCATGTGGCTGAGAGAGCTGGGGTTCTTTAGCCTGGAGAAAAGGAGGTTCATGGAAAATCTTACTGCTCTCTACAACCATCTGAAAGGAGGTTTGTAGCCAGGTGGGGGTTGGTTACTACTGCCAAGTAACAAATGACCAGGCAGAGGGAAACAGCCTCAAGTTGCACCAGGGAGGTTTAGATTGCATGTTCAGAAATTTTTTTTTTCATGGAAAAGGTTGTCAGGTATTGGAACAGGCTGTCTAGGAGAGTGATTGTGTCCACATCCCCAGAGGTGTTTAAAAGACGTGTAGCTGTGGCACTCAGGGACATGGTTTAGTGGCAGATGTGGCAGTGCTGTGTTAACAGCTGGACTTGATGATCTTAAGGATCTTTTCCACCCCAAATGACTTTACATCTCTATTTTAAGCCAAAGCAAATCAGATTCACATTTTTCATGGCTCTGCTTACATTTTCTCTCCTCCTCTGGTACCTTGGTGATATGCTCTAAATGGCTTAATGCAAACGCTACACATCTTGAAAACACTAAAGCACAGGCAATCTGTGTCCAGTCAACCACTGCAGATAAGAAGGTAAAAATAAATTGCTTAAAGAAATCAAGCAAAACTAGAACACTTTCATAATATTATAATGTTTATAATGTGTATTTTAATCACATCCTGAAATTTCTGTAAATGCAATATTTGACAATTTCCTAATGGAAATCCCAGAATTAAATTTAAAAAACCCTAGAATTAAATAATCAAGAAAATATAAAACATGCTACTTCACTGTTAAGTATAACACTGCTAATAAATTTTGAAACAAAAAATGTTTAATTTATCAAAAAGCACAAAGAAATGCTGAACACTAGGATGCAATGTTGCTGCAATTCAATGCTGTCTGATCTAGAAGATTCATCAGCCTTTTCACTATTTGACACCTACTAGTTAAGCCAAGGATACTCTCACTAAAACAAAAGGTATGTTTTCAGGTTTGCAACGAAGAGCCAAAAGAGAAGACACAAATAATTCTATACCTCTTATGTAACTGTTCTGTATTTTCACAGATTTGTACAGTAAGGTAACTACATTGTATATACATAATGTATACACTACAGAAGAAACGTGATACCTTAGTGGAAAGGATGTACCATAGGTACAGAAAATGGAATCCACAGGGAGGAGCAAGAGGTTAAGACTGTTGATCTTTTTCTCTCATACCTAATGTTGAGTGCCATCTTTGTAAAATCAGTTTAATTAGGAAACATCCCTTTGACCCTCACATGAGGCTACTCTTTTGATTTACCAGTTTGGAAGACAAAAAAAGATAATTTACCAAAAATGTTAAAGTCATAATGATTTTTATTTTTTAATGCTAATACAAATGGAACTCTCAAGGAATCAGAAGAGAGAACACAGAAGATCAAAATTTTAACTCCTCTTGTTTCCATATATAAAATCATGGCCATAGTTAAGTTCTATATCAAGTGAATTTCCAATTGCTCAAAATATTTTCTTCTCCAAGAAAAAGAAATAAACACACCCTGCCCCCGTTTTATAATTTCTTACTACATTGTCTACAGAAGCCTGAAACCATGCACTCACATTACCATGCAAACAAAATGTACCATGCTGTGTATTTAGGCAAGTTTTGGCAAAGATCTGCAGCACGATCATAATTTTACAGAATTTTTTAAAATCTAAATGCAAAGAATCCAATCTGGTGGCACAGATAACATGATTCTTGAATATAATTTCCAGATTAAATTTACAGCCTGGGCAATAACCATTTGCAGTCAGCTTTAACCTCTGCATCCTGGCTAAATGCTAACTGGCATTACTCATTCAAGTCCTTCCAAAAATTCTTTAGAAGTTTCATCCAAATTCAATTTTCTTCACATTCTGTGCTATAAAAGTCCCTAGAGTCTTGCTGCATACTTTTAAAATATCTGCCAGAAGAAACAGCACTCCCATGATACAGAATGTAATCTGTTTGCATGGTTTAAAAATACTTCCATAGCCTGTGGAATGGGGACTATTTTGTCAGAACAAAATTAAATTGGTTATATTGGTGAAGAGTCATTCCAGGCACAAAATTAATGAACTCAGTGCAGTCTTGAATCTCCTTTTAGTGTCTGCCTATACACAGATGAAATGCTAACAGAAGTGTTCTGTCACTTTTAAAACACAAGTCCTCATTTTAAAGACCTACCATATCTTGCATGTTGACTGGAAACACTGTAAATCACAATCATTTCAAGAGGTAAAAGCATATAATAGTATCCTGGCTTTTCACAAACATGTGCATAATTATTCTACAGAAAAGTGAGTGTGGGGGGGAAAAAACCAACAACTTTGGAATGCGAATTCTAGTGCCAGAAGGAAGGGAAAAAAAGGGCATTGTATTGTTTATGAGTAAAAGAGAAAAAGTTTTATGTATTACAATAAATAGAAATAAATTCAAAATATTTTTGACCAAAAAAATGCCTTACCTTGAAAAGTTGAGGAAATGAACATGTCTAGTGAATAAATAGGGCTGCTCAGCAGTGCTTATGTTTTTAATCAATTCCATCTAAAAAGAATTAACAAATCAAATTTTCCACATTACACCAATGCACAATTTGAGACAAATATAAAACTTTAAATTGCAGATGATGATATAATTTTCAAGCCTGGAATTACTCAGGACCTCCTTCCCCACTATCCCTCCGGAACACTGTCATCAAGATAGCATGATGAATATTTTATGTCTAACCAAGAATGGTGTCTGCAGTTCAACCTTTTTGCTACCATGGAGCTTATGTACTTCCAAAATGCTTTCAGAAGTGGGTTTAAAGAAAGACATAAACTAAAGGAAAAATCTAAACTCTTTCTAAATCTGCAAGAGCCTTCCAAATGGCAGGTACCTTCTGAAGATACTAGATCTTTTCACCCCACTGCCAAAAATGCATAATGTCTAAAACTGTAACAGAAAGCGGGAGCTGAACCAATGGTCATTTTTGTGTAACAATAAACACTGTCAACACAGTCAAGACACCAACTGATTTGCTTGCTTAAATCTAGAAATCAGAACTTGCAATTCCTTTTCCTATTACCATAAATGAGGAGTATAAACTAAATGGGCACTTTTAGAAAGATGATGCTAAATTCTAGTTCAGGGCCATTCACATAATGTTAATTTTTTAAAAAAATAACTAAATAGTTTGAGTTTTCATACCATTAAGATAGAAAAATGTAAACAGCACAATAGATATGACCATATATTTTATGTAAGCTGAGCTCTAGCTATGATTTACAGGAAACTGGAAGTGTCTAATGAAGTATCATGCTAGAAATTCAATGTTTCAGTTAATTTTACTTCCTTTTTAATAATTTCCTAAGATTTATTTTCCAATTTTCTGTTCTATGCTCAAATGCAGGCTATGCTATGGAACCGAACACAAATACACTTGAAATGACAGGTTTCTTGATTTTACAAACTGGGTAGTAGAAAGCAATTCATACACTGGAAAAAAAAAAAAAGGTAAGTCTATGAACTACATGTTCTGATTTAAATCATATTAATCGATGTGACGACACAGTAATCAAATAAAATGTAATAAAAATGTATTTCCTAAAACTTGAATGCTATAGTTGACATAGATAAAATAAGCAAAACCTGTAGTCCAGCCTGTTTTGTGGTCAAAATAGAGTAACTGGCATGTGTGGAGTTACTAGCAACAAAAAGAGCATGGTAAAAAATTCTGCCCATACCATAGCAAATACCAAACCACATTTAAGAGACAGCGGTTGCCACATTTTTTCCCCTTCTAATGCCCAGTTTCAATAGACTGATATTTAGCCATGATTTTTATAATTTGTGTCACATCTTACTGCTTCTTATCCATCTTGCATCCTCCACTTTTTCCCAGTACACATACCCTGACTTCTTCCTTCAGCCAACATAAACTACAGCCAGAAAGTGCACACACTTACCAATTTTCTCTTCTTTCCCTCTGTCTTCAACAATTCTAGACACATACATGTATGATGGCTACTGAAGCAAACAGTTCAGCTTGTCCATCTGCTCAGGATGGACTTTTTTCTGTCTAACTAGTTTGAGTACACCAAGGTATATTAGGTACAGACCTTATACATAACAACATATTAGATTTGAGAAAGTATAGCAAGGTATTTTACATCTAAAAAAGGCTGAAAACCCAAAGAAATGGAATGTAAAACAAGATCACCAAAAGAAAGACAATATAAAGGGAAAAGGGAAACAAGAAAATATGGAGAGAACGTGTGCAATAAAAAAAAATAACACAAGGAATTTAAAGAAATAGTCAGGAAGGGAATAGCATCCCTTCCTTAGCTATTCATATATGGAGTCTGGACTGCTTGATTCAAGCATAAGCTGGACTTTGCACAGCTTCTTCAGTACATTATAAATGCATTGGGTAAGAAATTCATAAACCTGAAAAGCAAAGCTTGTCCGGATCAGAATTAGAAAGCCTAGGAAGCTTTGCAATATTTAGCACAAATGAACTGAGTATTGTTGCTTCGTGCTCTGAAGGCATTTCAGCCTCAGGAGCAAAGGGAAGCTGGAAAGATGCTCACAGTGCGGGACAGCGTCTGGCTCCTGGGGTTTTTTTTATGTCTTGCTACCAAATTCAGTCTCTTGAGCTACGACAACAGCTTGCTCCAAAGCAGAAACAGAATTTTGTTTTGACTTAGAGTACCTTCATATTTAGACACTTAATGATCAACTGGACTTGTAAGCAGATGTGGATGAAGCTACAATGTGCATAAGAACAAACAAGCAAAATCCATTCTTCTAAAAACCCTGCCAAAAGGGTAAGTAAGGCTTAACTGAAACAACACACAGATGTCAGGAGGGAAAAATAAGTAACTGTAATGGCTCATGGCCACATGGAAATTGTGGCCGTCTTTCCCATGGGCCTCTCCCTCTCTCATCATGCTGTCCTGAACTGTTTTCAGGCTAACAACTCAAATGTATTGCTCAGAAAAACATATTGATCTTGCCCATCTTCTAAGACTATGCTAATAAAAGAAAAAAAAAAAAACAACCAAAAAAAACCCCAAACAAACAAACAAAAAAACCAACAACAAAAAGAAAAATCTCCAGTGTCTCTCAGTAGAATAAGTTTGGTTGGTTGTTTCTAGTTGTTAGATTTTTTTTTTGTTTGTATGTTTGTTTATGTAAGATAAAACAAGAAAGAAAGAAAATAAGATGTAGTGGACCCACAGAGAGCTACAGTGAGAAGAGAATGAGGGCTGAAGAAAACAAGTGCTTTTGGATGAAATCAGTGATGAAGGAGAATGACACACAAGTACAGATGGTCATATCACCCTAAATTCGAAAAGAAATAAAAAGATACAAGCAGCAGAAGATAAGCAGCCCTGGCAAACCTGTTAGGGAAGAGGTAAGTCAGAACACATCTATGGTTGGAGGGAGACTCTGTAGAAATATTTGGAGAAATACAAAAGGCACATGTACCTCCTAGGATTACGGCCCATAAGGAACTATTCTCTCACTGCTGCCCAGAGCTCTCCTGAAGGAATTAGGCAGCTTCAGTGAAACATTACTGAAAAATATACTAATTTGAAATGTTTAAAAATAATAATTAAAAAAAATACTAATAAAAACTTAACTAATTTTAAAAACCCCAAATTTGCAAGTTAATTTCAATTAACTTGCAAAGTGCTGCTGCATTGCAAATGCTCCAGCAGATGGCACCGTGGAGTGACTCCAGGAGGGCTGGAGATGGATGGGGATGGATTTTCCCTAGCCACAGCCTTGTTCCTGCACAAAAACTCAACTCTGGCCTTTGAGACAGGACACCTTTCTCTCTGCTGGAGATGGCTAGTCCAGTCCCTGTGCTAACCACTCAGAGAATCCCCACTTTGAGGTTTGCACTAAGTAAATTCTACTGGGAACAAAAGGAAATAATCAGATAACAATCCCACAAAAACAACAGCCAAAATGTTACTATTTTCTTTTTTTAATGCTGTATTTCAGTGTGAGAATTTGGGATTTTCTAATGTGGTCTTCTGTATTACACTACAGTCTCCGCTAATATTGACAAAAAATGGACAAAAAATTATATCTTCCCTGTGAGCTCTTTATGTTCTTTCACTGCTTTCACTCTCTACTAAAGGCATGTAGGGCTCAGGAGGTACAAGTACCTACAAGAATTTTGGTATATCACTTTCATCTCAGTACTCATTTCCATAAACAACTCACAACACCCAGGAATGAGACTAGATCTTCATTTTCAGCTCTCAAAAGCTTGGAATGGTTTCAAGAATTTCTTTACCTCCCCAAGCTGGTATGACCAATTTTCTGTCTTTAAAAGCATTTAAGAAAAATTAGTGATGGAGTTTTAGTGCATTGAACTGGAGTTGCATATAAAGTTGGCTGCACAGCCATAATGAGTGGTAGAAGGAAACAATTTGAGGATAAACTACCAACTACTCTTTTATGTGACTGACATTTCTATACCTATAAGGATACTCATTCTTACTTCCCTGAATGCAATAAAATGGAAGTAAAGGACAAAGGGCAGGGGAAGACTTCATTTTGCAACAGTTTGAGTGACATAAAGCCACATCAATTATATTAATATTATGTGTTATTTCCTGGATTTAATTCACTTGAAAATATTATAGTAAATGGCAAGCCATATATTAATACATCTGTTTCCAGAACTCACTCCCTTATGCCCACAGATGTTCAAAGGCTGCACTTCTAATTGCTGGCAGACACACATAATTTGGGAAAATTTCTTAGTAGGAAGCAGACTGGAAAAGGCAATGAGAATATGGATTCCAATTATGTGCAATCCCCACAGTCATTAAAAACACCTACATGCTTAACTTTATTTAACAACAGCAGACTGCAGAAGCTAAATATTTACAGAAAAGTCTTGGCTGGATCAGGGCTTTAACCAAACACAGGACAGAGAACTGACAGAAGGAAGAGAGACATATCATCTCAAGTGAGAAGCCCATACTCATACTGGAAGCCTACAGCCCAGCCCAGCTCTCTTTTTTCTTGTTCCAATGCCTGGAGCCTGAGATCATTCACTGCCTTAACTTCCTCCTGTTACACCACATTAAAGGTGGAAAACATAATTTATTTTTTCATAATCTGCTCTTAAAAAATGAGAAGACAACTAAAAATGCCCTGAACAACAGAATAGTTACTGTCTCCAAGCATGTTCTCTGGTGATCAAAGGCACTTTTCAGGAAAAGTACTCATGAAATTATGAGCCTATTGTAACTATGGAAATAAACCATAAATAAAAATAAAGAGATTCAAATTATGGCAGGGCAATCTATAGAGTAAATAATCAGCTCTTTAGCAATACTTTGAGCACATTTGCTGTTTAGTAACTTAACCACTTAGAGAGTGCAAAAGGTAATGCAAAGACAATTTTCTGTCAGTGTATTGCATCAAAAGTAAGTCTTGGCCTCTCTGGAGCCTCCACATACTGGACTAAAGCACCAAAAAGTTTGAAGAAGTAATCTTGTATCATGTTTTAACAAAGGAAAATCCACATACCAGAGAAGGACAGAACAGAACTGAAAGGAAGAAGCTGATCATGATGAAAGCTGATGATTACTAGCACCTGAAAAATTTTGGGGATTTATGGTACGTCCCCCAATCAGCAATGAAAACTGATGAAAGATAGAAACGAAACCCAAACTGCCCAAAACACAAAAGCATTTCTACCCACAGAAATCCCATATCCCAGCAAAAAAACTGAGCAGACAGGCTCTGTAGCACGGGATAGTTTGACTCCTTTCTGATGGGACCATAGTGCAACCTTCGCAGGCTGCGCGGTGCTGCCGGTAGGAAACACACGAGGATGCTGCAGCAGATGCAGAGCAGGCGTTTCCTGTGCCACAAGCAGGGGCAGTGAGGGGACTCTGCCCCCCTCCGCAGCCTGTCACTGGTGTGCCACACCCAACCATGCATAGCAGCCACATTTGGGCTGGCATGGCAGCCCTGCCCAGCTGGAGCCCACCTCTGGCTGAACTTGAGTTATGGAGTGTTAGGTCAGCCAGCTGCGGTGGGATCCCAATGGACACCCTGAAGGGGAGGAAGGTGGGAACTGCAGGAGCAATATCTGCTCCTAAATTTCCATTTTGAATGAACTGCTGCATCTAAAATAACAAACCTGTGCTCATGAACAGGCTGCAAGTAAATGATCCCCAATCACATCACAATGTCACTGGCAGGCCCACATCTGTATCTTGATCACTGCACACATCCTTTTGTGCTTTGCAGGCTGCAGATTCTAGAAGTGACACGGGCAGCAATTGCAGCCTTTACCTGACCAGCAGCTCAAAACAGCAGCAGTGGGCACCGTGTGCAGCATCCGACCACAGACGTGGGCTTTGAGTCTGAGGTTTTCCTGCACTGCTTGTATCAATCTGCTAACAGAGGAGATACTTACAGTGGGTACATACGTACCCATAAAGAGAATAATATTGAAATAACTGGATCTGTCATAGAAACAAAGCTGCAAAAGTAGTCCTTCTACAACTCTAAGGGAATGTGCAAAAGAGTGTCTGCGTAAAGAGGTTTCATGTATTTCCACTTCCCTCAGTGAGGATTGTGCAATAAACATGAAAAAGATAGATAAGCAAGAAACTGAGATAGGATCAAGGACATGTCATAGTATAGAAACATGGGTTAACATGACCCTGGGAAACAACTTTTTGAAGCAACTGATTACTAGAAGTGAATTAAGAAAGTTATCAGAAAGGACCTTTTTGGCAATTACTTACTCCCACTCTGTTTAAGACCCAAGCTAGGTCTGAATAAGGTTATAGGATAAATGGCTGCAGATACATTAATACATGTCCCAGATCTGTTAGCACTTCACTGTACTATCCTTTCTTGCCTCACTGGTAGTCTAACTGCTATGCTGACTAAATTCAAGAGCTGTCTCACTGGAAGTTAGTTTTTCTGGTTAGCTGCCACATCATGTTGTTCTTGGCTCTGCCACCCATTTCTCTTATTAAATGAAGTCACTTAGAGAATGATGAATTCCGTATGATTGCTCAGGACAAAGTAGCAATACATCTTTTCAATAGGATCGTCTGCTAGTATATGCCTTTGTTTCTCAGTTTCATACATGTAATAATTAAACAGGACCTAAGACAAACAGGACTAACTTACCTGCTCATTTTTGGTCAGTCTTGTTTTGTTATGAATGTCAGATGTAACCAGGTTGAATCCATGTTTCTCTGATAAAATTCTTAAAAGCAAAACCACAGTTCGACTTCCACACTTTCCAACTCTGTTGTAGACCACTTGACTGGGGAAAGGAAGTACCTAATGAAAGATTGAAAAAAATTGGAGTCAGTACATTGATATTTTGTTTCTGTGTACCTCTCAATCACATGTTTTTATCTGAAGCCAACAGACACATAGAAGAGAATTTCTAGGTCCCAGGTCAGAAGCATTCACTTCCTCTAGCAAGGTAGAAGCTCTTCAGAAGAGAAACAGCAAGGCTCAGGGAGGTGGCAAGGTAAGATTTCCCCCTTGAGATGCAGTTATATGTAACAGATTGGCAACTACTCCAGAAACACTATGTTGGTAATTATTGTTACGTTGGTAATGATCTTGATCTTACTGATTGTAATCTCAATGCAAATACTCATCTTTATTGACTATCTCCCATAAAAAGAATTTAAAAGAGTGAATTTGCACTACAGTTTGGCAACTTGAAGTCAAGCTGACATAATGCAGGAGGAATGAATGCTTGGATTGCAAAACTTCAGCTTGAAAAGAAACAAAAGAAACCAAATAACAACCAGTTGCACAGATCTAAAATTAATCAACCCTTTTAATTTCAAATATAAACATGAATCTTTCAAATAGACTCAGAGAACAAATCATGCCACTAATCAAGAATCTATGTGCAGAATAATCAACATAGGGCCACAGGGGGCCTGAAGCCAACTGGCACAGTCTGATCACCTCTGTACAGGTAATGTTCATTAAATCTCAAAATAGATCAGCAACATCCAACCTGGCCACTGAGAATGGTGTCCCACCTACACTAACTCTTTCACCCTGCTCTCCTCCCCAGGAAACCAGAACAAGTAAAAAGTAACTCAGTGTCTCACAGTATGTCAGATGCAGCCTTATTTTCTTCCTGGATCACATCTATGGGCTATTGTTTCAGTAAAAGGCATTCTGGAGTCACACTATTGCACTACACAAATATTTGCTGCATAGCATATATATATATATATAATTTGCTGCTATAGCATATAGCAGCATGTGATAACATAGGCCCAGAGGAAACTGTTTCCAAGCCTTTAAGTTGGCTAACAGTTAGGAGCTCACAGTTTCACCCACAGTGTTGTATACACAGCACTCAAGGAAAGATGATTTTTCTATTACGACAATGGCACAAAACATTTCTTAACATAGAATCTGCACCTGTGTTCCAGGCAACCTGTGTTCAGCACAAGAAAAGGCAAAAGTGATGGTGTGTCTCAATGTATAGTTACTCCTGCTCTTTATGCAATCATGTTTTTCTAGCAGAAGGAATTCTAACATAAAAGCAGTCAGATGAGGCATATGGCAGTTTTCAGTGCAGAGTACTTCTTCACTGCATTTGAACTGCTAATACATCTTCATCAGGGAAGCAAAAAGATTTGTCAGGCAACTGTTCAGACTACTTTCAAAGAGAACTGCCAAATAGAAAGTAAAAAAAAGGAAAAAAATCTGTATTCCTTTATATTTAATGGGAACCTACTGGCACTTTGTACTCAGTGTTGTATTTCATGACCAAATGAACATTACTGCTGTTACTGGTTGCAATGTTTAGGATATCCTGCACTGCAACATAAATGCGGAGGCCATTACCCTGGGAAGGAGTAAGTATTGGGTGATCATGGCCTCGGTTAAACTTTCCAAGTTGCAGGACATCGCATCTGCTGATTCAGCAAGCAAAGGGGCTCTCAAGGCCTGTACAATCCACACACAATGCACTAAGTCTTACTATTTTGTAACATTTTTCTGGGAGAAACAGAGTCCCCATATTTCTTTATCATTCTTTCCTTCAGAAGTCTTGCTTCCTATGAAATGCAAAACCTCAGCCTCAATTATTAGAGAACTCCAGAGGTGATGAATTTAACATCTCTGAGCTAACCTTTCCCAAAACTACTGTTAATGGTGTCTGAAAGGTTAACATTGGAACACATTTTATTATGCTGATTATCACACCATAATGAAAGATAACATGAGCCCTATTCTGGATTGTCCCCTTTCTGGTTCACTTTTTGCATAACAAACACTAGCATCACTACTTGTCACAGTCCTGCAGCACCATCCGCACATCACTGCAACTTGTGGATTGGGAATTGCTCCTCTTCTTAGACATATGCTTTTGGAATACTCTGCCTGTGTAAGTAAGTGAAACCCTTCAAGAGAGATGATAAGTAGATGCTGACAAGTGTCAGTGAAGGAGCAAAAGTACATACACTATATGTTTGCCTAGCATCCCAGAAATTAGATGAATTAACAGAAATATTTTTAAATGCTTCCTAATTATTAACTGCTTTGATTTTCCTAGCAGTTTGGACTAGGCACAACAGTGAGCAATTTTTTTCTTTACTGGTGCTTCAGTCAAGTACAATTTTACTGCATACAATTATACTCAAGTTATTATTAAATCCTTGACAGGATTATCCAGTAACTTTGGGTGAATCTTATAAAAGTAATTCTTTAAAAACTAGATAAAATTAAAGGAGGCCTTTGTAAATTCTCTATTCTAAGTGCAAACTATTTTTTCAGCTTGGAAAAATGACATTGGTTACCAAATTTGGCCAATTATAACATTTGTTTCTCAAAGTCACCTTCCTAGGTAGCACAATTCTGTTCTGCACACAAGCAATAACCATGGTAACCCCCCAAAAGACACCACAGCAAATACTCACTGCAGATAAAGGAACCTGAAATAAAGGGCTATTATTTTCAGACACTTGTTTAGCTTAAAGGAGACCAATTTTGGTATTTTGGTATGACAATGCCTCGTTTCAGTACACAGTGAATGCACCTAGGTCTAACTGGACAAGATTCAAGATAAGTGCTGCAGCTCAAAGCTCACTTCCAAAGAACAATCACGAGTGGTAATCAAAACTTCCCTTGTAGCACTGCTGAGTGTGGTTGGCTTTTGGGATGTGCTCCTGAGACTCTGCTCATGTTTCATCCATTTACGTCACCATTGCACTCATCACACCCTAATGTCTCAAAGGTGTGTCCAGTGCTCAAAGCCATGCAGTACACAGGCTTTTGGTGTACAAGCAAGTATTTGTTTAACATGACCAGTTCCCTCAGGATGCTGCAAATCTGCTTTCTGTATTTATGTTGAAATGTTGAAGTTATTCCTGAGGAGCAAAAATACCACTTCCAAAGCCATGAGTTTGTATCAGGCAAAACTAAAAATGCAATAAATTGAAAACTTCTCCAGAGAGGAATTTTCTTTTCCCCCTCATGATACTCACAAGACACTCAGACAATATAGGAGATGGTGGCAGAGAAGGCATTTGGAAAGAAGACTCATAGTGTATTAGTAGAAACAAGGTGAAAAACAGCAGTTGGACATTTACAAAATGCTAATGGAATTACATTTTATTATTACTTACTACCTAAGAGTAGGTATCATGTAGACTGACTAACTGCTGAGATGATGCTCTGGCAACTTGATATTCATGTAACAATATAGACAAGTGCAAAATAATTGCAGAGTGACTCTACTGAGCACTGCAAGAAAGCCCAGAGGTAATATAAACAATTCAAACATATAATTCACTTTGGAGTTACACAAATTAGCACTTACAGCCATAAAAAAGTAAAACCCACAGTATAATTACAACAGCTCTCTCCAAAGGTTTGTAAAGTCATATGACAATTTACATGTCAGTTCAAACGTTTTTTTTTTCTTTTGTTTCATAGTTAAAGAAGATGCAAAGAACCGTTGTGAGATGAAATCAAGAAGAAAAAACAAGTTTAGTCCCAAACAAACTTGCACTGCAGAAAATGACTGTCCAGTACCTCTGCAGAGAAGTCTGCCAGTCTCAGAAAGGGAGCCATTCAACAGATAACCTGATAAAAGCCCAGCCTTTCACCTTCAGGGGGGGCCTTGTCTACAGATAAATCTTTGCACCATTAAAAAAAAAAAAATTAGGCTGAAAAATTACTTGTAGTGTCAATGATGTAGAGATTCATTCGTAGGCCTAAATCTCCACTTTTACTGAGAAAAATCCAGTACAATTTTGCCCATTTGCCAAAAATCTGCCAATCCAGGTACAAGCTGCACAGGCATCAGTGTCTGACTCACTTCAAGAAGCAGTGTAGTGGATGCTATATTCACACCTTCTGGAAGTAAGTGACCTGTGTCCTTCCACACAAATGGGGCCAGAAACGGATGCCAGAACTGACTTCTCCTTTCTGAGCTGACACTACCCTGTGGTCAGGCAGTGCTCCATGTTTATCAGGTGAATAAGGCCAACCAACGCCGGAAGTACTGATAAGATTGTGGAAACAAACATTTGCTGGCATATCTTTATACAGCATTACACCTTCCCAGTCCAGCCTCTTCATTTACTTTTCCTGTCTAACTAAAACAGAACTATAAAAATTTTAAAAGTGGCTTAATTGGTCAAAGGAATGACACTTTTGACTCATGAGAGGAGGTAACTACAATTACATAAGGTAACTACAAACCTGAGAGCAGTCAGCAGTCCGTTTCTCTCCAGTGCCTCTCTTTCTCCACTGTCCCCAAAAATTACATATGGCATTAGAAGGCACATCCTTCCATGCTGCCTGAAAAATTTCTCACACAACTTGTTCCAGCATTTTGTTACCCACCATGCATTAAATTTTTAGTTAATCTTCTATGATTTTCATAAATATCTGTTTTCACATTGTGGATTTCATGAAGACAGATCAGATAATTCAGTCATCAGCTTTAAGATCTTCTTAGATACACTGGATATTCTCTTTAACTGAAGATTTTCACAAGTCTGCCATGGTCTTTAAAGACAAACTCAAAGGCCACTAAGAGGCAGCCTTCCAAAATTAAGTTCAGGAATTGCTGCTCAGAAATCTCATTTCAAACAAGTATCAACTTGTTCACTTTTAAAGCACTCACAGTGAAAAGTTGCTAACACAAAGTTATGTCAGCAGAAAACATGACTGAAGAATGAACAAGGGAGTAAACAAAATATATGTTACTAGCTAGAATCTAGAATCCTGCATCCCTATCTAAACCACACAGTTCCAGTTACATAAGCATTCACCTGTGGAGTGTAGGAAAG